GTTTTTGCTCCCCCCTCTCCGGGTTGAGGCACTGGGAGTCGCTGCCTGTGCCGAGCTCAGGAGTGACCCCAAAAACCATCCCCGCTGCCGCCTTTCCCACCCGCGACGGCTTCTGCTGCTCGGGGCCGGTGGTGGTGAGCGACGCTGAGGATGTGGCCGTGGTGCGCGTGACTTGAAGTGCGTTGAGATCTGGCCGCGGGGGTCTCCTGTTTTCACCTCCAATGGGGGCTCTGGGAACTCCTGAGACCCCGCTGGGTTGGGGAGGGGGTCTGGTTTGGGTGCAAGATCCCATCTCAGGTGCTCAAACAGATCCTGGTAAGAGGGAACGTCCCATAACAGCCTTGATTCCTGTTCTCCCAGGAAAACCCGGTGTCGGGCCGCAAAGCCGATGTCATCAAAGCGGCTCATCTCTGCGCCGAGGCCGCTCTGCGCCTGGTGAAGCCTGGGAACCAGGTGAGAAATGGGTGCACGTCAGCTCTGCCCCCCAAGATCCCCCCCAGCTCTGCCCCTGGACCCCTCCTCCTTGTTTCTGGAGGTGCTGGTGCACGGTGGGTCACAAAAGCTGCCCATTTTACCACCCAAACCACCGTGCTGTGGGTGAACAAAGACGATGGAGGGAGTGGAGCATCTCCTGCTGAGGAGCGGCTGAGGGAGCTGGGGCTCTGGAGCTTGGAGCAGAGGAGACTGAGGGGTGCCCTCATTGCTGGGGATCCATTGGGAAAGGGCAGTGTCAGGAGGAAGGAGCCAGGCTCTGCTCTGGGATGGCCAATGCCAGGACAAGGGGCAATGGTCCCAAGCTGGAGCACAGGAGGTTCATGTGAACATGAGGCCAAACTTTGTGAGTGTGAGGGTGCAGAGCATGGCCCAGGCTGTGGAGAGGTTTTGGTGTCCCCTTCTCTGCAGACACCCAAACCCCTGAGGTGTTCCTGTGTGACTGCTTTGGATCCTGGTTGCACTGGGGGGGAATTTTGGGGTCCCTCCCAACCCCTCACATCCTGTGACTCTGGCCCTTTCTGTCCCTGACGTGTGTCCCGTGTTCCTCCCCAGAACACGCAGGTGACGGACGCGTGGAACAAAATCGCCCACTCGTTTCACTGCGCGCCCATCGAAGGTGAGGCCCGGGGCAGCCACTCGAGGCAGCGACGTTTCGGGTGACCCCGGGCTGCCCCATCCCAATTCTGGGACAGGTTCAATAACCTAACGTCGTTCCAATAACCAGCGTCGTTATAACCAACATCGTTAGCAGCCTTGGCTGAAAACCCCTTCAAAACTCAGGGTTCCTCTTCCCTCGTCTGCTTTTTGGGGTTTTTTAAGAGGTGTTAATCTTGGAGCGATGCCCGTGGGCTTCCAGACGCTTCCTCCTCCTCACTGTTCCCTTCAGCCCCAGTTAAACTGGGCCATTACCCGTTAAATTTCCTGAAATACCTTAACGCTGGCTCTTCACCCACCTTAGCCCAAGCTGGGCCCGTTGGTCCCCATCCATGGGACGGCTCTGGGGGTCCCCTCGGTGCTTTGCTCCTGTGGGAACCCGGCTGATGGGAACAGCGGAGTCGTTGGTGCCCGGGGCTGCACTTTCCCTCCCAGTGTCCTGCCCCATGGACGTGTCCCTGTCCCTGTCGCCACGTCCTGGGTTTGGTCTCGGGGAGAACCATGGGATGGGAGGGACGAGGGGAGTGAGCCCCAAAGAAACACCCTTGGGGTGCTGCACGGCCCCGTGCTGGGAAGGATTGGAAGTTCATTAATGTGGCCTCGCGGAGCGTCCCTGCGGGTTCACCCCCAGCCCATCACAGCCTGTGCCTCATTGAGCAGTGTCCGTCCCCAGAAGGGCCTGCAGGGAGCCAGAGCAGCTTTTGGGGAGCTCCACGTTGGTGCTGAATCCAACGGCGTTCGCGTTGCTGCCCACTCCTGCCGAGGGCTGCAGCCCTGCCCCGCAGCGTCCATAGTGCGAGCGGCTGCGTCCTGCCCGCAGGCCTGGGTGGGAATGGGCTCTGGGGGGTGGTGATGCTGCTGTCTGGGTGTTGCTGCTCTCCTGGTGTGGGTGCTGCTCTCTGGGTGTTGGTGCTCTCTGGGTGGTGGTGATGCTGTCTGGGTGTTGTCGCTGCTCTCCTGGTGTGGATGCTGCTCTCTGGGGGTCGTGGATGGTGCTCTCTGGGGGGGGGGGGTGCCCCCTGGGGGGTGGCGCCTCCGTTCTCCTGGTGTGGATGCTGCTCTCTGGGTGTCGTGGATGCTGCTCTCTGGGTGGTGGTGATGCTCTCTGGGTGTTGTCGCTGCTGTCTGGGTGTTGATGCTCTCTGGGTGTTGTCGCTGCTCTCTGGGTGTTGATGCTCTGGGTGTTGGTGATGTCTGGGTGTTGGTGATGCTGTCTGGGTGTTGCTGCTCTCCTGGTGTGGATGCTGCTCTCTGGGTGTCGTGGATGATGCTGTCTGGGTGTGGATGCTGTCTGGGTGTCGCTGATGATGCTCTCTGGGTGTCGCTGATGCTCTCTGGGTGTCGCTGATGCTCTCTGGGTGTCGCTGATGCTCTCTGGGTGTCGCTGATGCTCTCTGGGTGTCGCTGATGCTCTCTGGGTGTCGCTGATGCTCTCTGGGTGTCGCTGATGCTCTCTGGGTGTCGCTGATGCTCTCTGGGTGTCGCTGATGCTCTCTGGGTGTCGCTGATGCTCTCTGGGTGTCGCTGATGCTCTCTGGGTGTCGCTGATGCTTCCTGTCTCCCAGGGATGCTGTCGCACCAGCTGAAGCAGCACGTGATCGACGGGGAGAAAACCATCATCCAGAACCCCACAGACCAGCAAAAGTGAGCACCACGCCGTGCTCGGGAGGGGCGGCTGCACCAGGCCCCGTGCCCCCGTTTCTGACTGTGAACCAGGCAGGGTTGGAGCAGGGGTGTTCGGTTTAACCGGGACACAGACCGCTAACGTTCACCCCTGACCACCGCCAAACCCCATCCCGTTACCCCGCGCCGTGGCCACGAGCCGTGGCTCCGCGCTGAGGCCGCTCTGGGGCG